TGTGCGCAGCAGCAGCGGCTTGGGTCGCTCTCTTCCGGGATGTCCTAATTAAGCAACACGGTGAACCTGAGAGCCAAAGAGACCAAGACCCGAACTGTGACTCAGTGAATATCCACTCTGAAGTGGAAAGATAGCTCGAAAGCTCTGCTAAAAATAGACGATAGACTGGGTGGCGGCCCAAGCAAGGATCTGTCATGAAGCAATGCTCATTTAACCTTTATTTGAGGGTTCTTGCAAGTCAAATGTTGGGATTAACTATATTTCAAGTTCAACTCAAAATATTTGAATAATTATTTTGCTTAGAAGCATATAAAAAAACGACAACAACACAGAACAAAAAAAAATATATAAATCATTTCTATAGAAGATTAAATGGGTGTCTTGAATATAAAAACGGTTTTAATATTAGTAAACATAAGGCTAGATTAGTTTTCTTTAAAGGTGGCAGTGGAGGAGTCATAATCCAAACAGGGTAAGTGTTTCTGTAGATTGGCATTGCTGCAGAAGAAAAAGCAATACCCCAATGAAGAAGGGGGTCTGTTGAAAAGAGAACAAAACTGCACTCCCATGCTGAGGCATGGGGATGGCAGTATCATTCTGTGGGAATGCTTTACTTCAAAATTGGTAAACTGTCAAGATTTGAATTGAAAATAGATGGAGTTGAACACATGTGATCCTATATAACAGCCAGAACTACTAGAGTTACCTCAACTGTTAGCCCCCAGAGGCTGTTATCCTCAGACTTTAATCTAATCTTTGAAACATTCCATGTACATTTCAGCATCTGTAAATCTGTAATCTGTAGTTATAGACTCTGTAACTTTTAGGAACCTTCACTGAAAAGGTAAGATACCTGTTTGTGACGTTCTTTGGTTTAAATAACAGATAATTCATCAGACCAGCTGCTGATTTCCCGATTCAGTCCCTTCTGCATGGATGATGCTCCACCAAAAACATGGCACCATGTCACTCCTAGTTTCACTGCTGACCAAAATACTCCTCAAAGCTGACTGAACGAAGGCAGAGTATGAGCATTCCCTTTAGAGTGATTTATTGATGAGAAAATGAATAAATCATTTCTAGAGCATCACCTCGGAAACTTTATCACGAGTCTGTTGGATCCACGCAAACGGGAAAGCAACAAGGCAGGGGGTTATATAATGGTGTTTTGTTTGCTTTCCTTTCCTTTATTTTTTTTAATCCTCATATTATAATATATTATAGTACTTTGTTGTTGTATAACTGATTTGTCTCAGCAAGAACATTACTATATATTAAAAAAAACTAGATTAACCTACATAGAAGGTAGATTTGTAACTTTAAAAAGATCAAGACTGGATGTAAATAATTAAAATATTATTTAGACCTAAGATTACTGTCTTAAAGTTATATAAAAATACCCATAAAGAGATGTAGATTTACCAGTGTGTGTAAGATACAATCACTGATACAGTATAAAAGGTAAATCATGTGTTTAAATATGCACAAAATTATGATAAACACTTTTATGATGCTGGATTAAATGTGTAGGTTTGTTGCTTTCAGTCTGAATTATATATATATTTTTTGCTTTTCTATTCCCCATGACTCATTTGTGATTCCTTTTGAAACAAGGCTTTATGCTGCATGTCATCAGTTGCTCCTGCAGCTGCAAAAGTGACCGTTCTGCTGAATTAACCATGAGTCTCCTGGTGAAAATAACACAGGCACAGATGAAAACAGATGGTTTCACTTCATTTGACAAGGCTGCATGAAATTCACCACCACTTCATTACATTTCTAACAGCGTGTGTTAGGTTTAAACATGATTGTGTAAAAGAAATTCTTAGTTGAGTGCACCAGTGCAGTTCATTCAGGGATATTTCAAATAAAAAACGGCTTCAGATAGCTGAATAAAAAAGGCAAACAGATTAGATTTAGTTAATGATTTCAAAAACTATTTAATGACTGGATCTTTAGCTATTTCATTACCGGCAGGCTGTCATGGATACATTGTTTCCCAGTATTTGGCCAAATTTAAAGCGATACCAATCAATAAACATCGTTCACAAACTGAAGCTCCAGAGAGGGGATTCCGTCAAAGATGTTCTTAAAACTCAGCATGTAGTTTTCTATTACTGCAAATTTCTTGCTTTGAATCAGAATCAGAAAAAAAAAACTTATTCTGATACTGATTCTAATTTGATACATGATATTTAGGTACATTTTCTAGTGACGGTGACTCGGGCGGAAGGTGCTTATCCTGTAATCTATGGGTTACTGGTTGTGTTCATCTTTGTTTTTGTGTCCTTTGGAAGATACTTCACCTGCCTTGCCTGCTTCTGGTGGTCAAAAGGCCCTGTTTGTATCACAGCCTCATTTGTGGATAAAATTGTGTGTTTAAATTAATAAACGACTGGTAGCAGGTTTGTAGTCCTCTGGCTTAATAAAGCGCTATATAATTAAGCTACAGGCCATTTTTACCATTTTGTAATGGACAAAGATTTTAAAGCTGGGCACTTCCTTCTTTGTCCTTCAATTTTCCATCTTTGCCCATTATTTTTTTTAAAACACTGGGTTCACAAAAAAATGGAGAAAAAACTAGGTAACTTTTTTTTAAAGAAATTCTTTTCACTCAATAAAACCCAAGTAAATTTTACTACCAGATTTCTCTTATCAACAAAAAGATGTACTTGTGTTTTGCTAGTAAATTTTATAAAGAGGTACAGAGACATACAACCACACACAAGAAGAATCTAGAGAAGCCAAATAACCTAACAGTCATGTTTTTGGACTATGAGAGGAAACCGGAGTACCCGGAGAGAACCCATGTATGAATGGGGAGAACATGCACTGCATGCACACAGACTGTGGATTGAACCCAGAATCTTCTTGCTGAAGGCAACAGTTTTGCAAACTGCTCCATCTTGAAGCCAACAAGTAAACAATATTTTCTATTTTTAACCTAAACATAGTCAGGTTAGGAAAAAAAGCACCAAGTTTACTCCTAACATCCACGTGCATATTACTTGCATTTGTTAAGCTGGCAACTTATTTTAATTGTTTTGTTAATACTATTTGATAAGAGGAATTTTTTTTATATATATTTTGATGTCTATAGATTTATAAATTAATTCTAAGTGACACAATAAAATATGTCAATTTGAAATAAAGGCATTTACAGGGCAATTTGGAGTAAAATTTTACATTAAAACCAAAAATGTGATAAAATACAGCTAAGACACGTTTATTTGTATCTCTTCTACTTAAAGCCTATTTATGCATGCATTGCAACTCTGGGGTCTTGACCCTCAAGGCCTACTGATGGAAAAAATTATTAGAACCACTTCTTGTAATACATTACATGTTGATGTAAAAAATGAAAATGATAATGCATTGCTGTTACTAATAAGAACAAAAATACCACCAACCTTTTATTTTTAAATATAGATCATTTTATTTCACTTTGATTAAATGTGGTTGAAATTCTGAAGTAAAGGTTTTATTATAAATGCTTTAAAAGCCTTCATCCACTGACAATGAAAATGTTTTTTTGTTGTTTTTTTGCCATTTTCTATTACATATTTCCCTTGTAAGAAAAAGTTCAAGTATAAAAAATTTCCCAACAGTGTAAAACAGCCGATCTGAAGAATATGAAGCAACATAAGCTACTGAAAGCCTAACGGCGGCTATACATTCTAGTAGAGAAAAGCAGCATTTTTTTGCTTTTTTGTAAAACCTCTTAATAATTCCTCTCAGCTAAACATAGATGACTCAGAGTACAACCTGCAATGCAAACAGGCCTGCATTAAAATCCACAATGCAACTATTTTATGTTTTGTTCTAAATAGTCCAAAAATAAAAAGTACAGTGCACATAACAGTGTTTTAAATAACTTCTACATTATTGTTTTTGGTTCAGCATGTTAATAATAATAATAATAATAATAATAATAATAGTAATGAACTAATCAATAACTTATATATGCCTTGAGATGAGTACATATTAATATTAATAACACAGTACCTCCACTAAGTATCTACTCTTAAAGGAATAGTACACCCAAAACATGATTAGCCTTCATTTTCTACTCACCCCCATGCTGAACAACACCCTGGAGTACTTTTTTGATATCTCAAATGCATCTGGAGTTCTGGGAGGCTTCTTGCTGTCTGCTGACATTCAAATAATGGAGGTCTACGGTGCCCGAGACAGAAAGGTCCATAAAAGTCCACAAAAACGTGTCAATATTCCTCCATACTGCTCGTCCAATGTATTCCAAGTGTCCTGAGTGGGTAGCATCCAGAATTTACTCGAAATGAAGTCATTTAGAATGTTTTTAGAGCATAAACAGTAGTGTATAGGATTTCCTGAAAGCGCGCGCCGGCGCGTTCATGACGCTACGGAAGCCGGCAGACTAAACCAGATGAAAGTGCGCATTCGAGTCTGCTCTGCCGATAATGCAAGCGTAATAGAAGAAATGTGCTGTTTACCTGTGTAAAGAAAGAAACAACGAAAGAAAAATGTCTGAGGACTTCAGTGTTGAGGAAGAGCATGAGTTCTTTGCCGAGCTGAATGCGCTGGTTTGGTCTGCCGGCTTCCGTAGGCTCGTGAACGCGCATGTGCGCGCTTTCAGGAAATCCTATACACTACTGTTTATGCTCTAAAAACATTCTAAATGACTTCGTTTCGAGTAAATTCTGGATGCTACCCACTCAGGACACTTGGAATACATTGGACGAGCAGTATGGAGGAATATTGACACGTTTTTGTGGACTTTTATGGACATTTCTGTCTCGGGCACAATAGACCTCCATTATATGAATGTCAGCAGACAGCAAGAAGCCTCCCAGATCTCCAGATGCATTTGAGATATCAAAAAAGTACTCCAGAGTGTTGTTCAGCATGGAGGTGAGTAGAAAATGAAGGCTAATCGTGTTTTGGGTGTACTATTCCTTTAAGAGTGTCAACAACCTGCAAAAATAAATAACTTAAATAGTTTTTTGTCCGTTTTTCTGTTGTTCTCTAAGTTAAATAGCTGAAAATAATGTAAGGCACATAGACCGACATGACATCACTGAGGAAACCCCTATTTTCTCCAACCCCCACCTGCTGGTTCTAACAGATGTGAGCCAGGCTAGTTGTCGGGTTAGCTTTGGAGAAATTGTGAGTGCGTACCTGACACCCTGCTACAGCAGCACAGAGGTGGAAATGCTGACACGACTGGAGGAAGGGGGGGTAGGGGTCATGGTGGGTGCCGGGGGGGGGGGGGGGGGGGTGGGGGGGTGGTGGAGGGGTGTAATGTCGGTTCCCAAAAGGGCTCTGCCGGGGATTAAAATGTGACAGCTCAACAAACGGTGCGTTCTTTCCAGAGAGATCCATCTGTGCAGCGCTGGAGCTGCTGCGTCCACCAATCCCGCCCCCTCCAGCAGCTGCCCCCTCCATCACAGAGAGAAACGCCACTGTGCTGCTTTTGCTTTTCAGCACTCTGCTGCCTCTGGATGCATGAATGTAAGTGAAATGTAGAGAAGCAACAGATTTAGTGTTTCTCATTGTTTCCCCCCCTCTTTTTTGTCAGGGTTTCTGTTGTCTTTTCCAAACCCCCCCTCCTCCCTCCATGTAGTCCAAGAGTCTAGTCAGAGCTGATGACAATTTCAGTTTCTTTCTCTTTTGTTGATTTGTTTGCTTTGCATAGGTCAAGAGGTTGAGGCTGAGTAAAAAAAAAAGTAAATGGGACATTCAGCATCAGGAAGATTATTCAGCAAGTTCTTCACATGTGTTTTCCACATGACGATTAACAACACCTAGACTTCCAGACCGAACTTTAGAGAAAAAAAAACACATTGGAAACGGTTTCATTTCCCTGATTATCAGAAAACATCAACTCAAAAAAAAAAAAACATAAAACAAAACATACAAGCAGAACCCTCAATGTGTGATATTAACAAAAGTAATAAATAAAATAAAAATGTTATGAGGGCATTAAATAACCAAGTAACACTTTGGAAACATGACAGGCAGAAAAATAGAGGCTATTCCTCAAAACTAACGTTAGAGACAGCATTAGGACTTTAAGGCCAACAGTGTAACACCCTGTCTTCCTGTCATTCGTCTCTAGAAACTCTACTACAGTGGCAGTAGCAAAAACAATAGTATTCATAGTAATACCAACAGTGATAATTTCCTAGGTTTGTTCTGCGACCTTTTTCTCATTTTCAGCTTTTTGTTTAGATAAAGCACAGCAAGTTGGAGAGATCCTATCCCACCTCACTATTATCCTCACCACCACTAACTTTTAGGGAAACTAAATCTCGGAGTTGACAGGATCAACCATCAAGGCAACTCCATCTGTCTTCTTGTATCCTTGTCATACTTCAGCTGTGACCAGCGGTGGATCGTCCTTCTCTTTGCTTGTGCAACAGTTGCAGCCGCTGCTATTGTATGCGATCGGCCTGCATTTGCTGAGCCTGGTATTGCCCGAAAGCTGCAGCTGCAGCAGCCGCTGAGCCTGGGGCTGCGGTGGCTAAAGGCTGCTGGACAGCAAAGCCGTAGCCAGCGGTGGCCATGTAACCTGGGGCAGCGGGAGAGGCAGCATAGGGGTATTGCTCGTAGGCCACGGCAGCTGCTGCGTTGGCTGCTGCGGAGTACTGTGCATAGGCAGCACCGGTGTAGTCGATGTAAGGAGAGGTGGCGGCGGCGGGAGCGGCAGCTGCAGGCTGCACATGAGGAATCACCACACTGGGCTGAACGAAGGCCTGGGGGTACACATAATGGGTCGGGATGCTGTGGGAGAAACAGACAGACATGCTTAACCTTTGACTATCGGAAGAAGTCACCATAAAAGTCCACTTCACCACACTGCACCTGAGCACTCTTCCCAACCAGGTAGCTTAATTAGCAACAACAAAGAAGCGGCTGCTAGTAGGAATCAAAACAACGCAGGGTTGCCAAAATAGAAAACGACATATCTCTCTGTTTGAAAAAAAAAAATCGATCTTTAACAAGAAAAATATATCGAAAATGGGCGATTAATCTCTCTGCCTATTTTGCAGTTATGTACTATGGAAATGGTAAAACACATGGACTACTCAGCTTTGTGTAACAAGAACTAGAAATTAGATTGACAATGTTCTTAATCTCCCAAATTTAGTTTCTGCTCATTAAAAAATAAAAAATAAAACTTTAATAATTTACTTTAAACTTAAGCTCAAATCTTTATAATTTAATGTTTTCAACACCAAATGAATTAGTGTTAAATACACACAGATTGTTAGCTATGTTGTTCCTTTTATACCAGAAAACCAAACTGGGTTGATTTTATTTACACTCTCAGAAAATATACTCCTTTTCAGAACATGTCTAATTAAAACGATCGGGAGACTTTCAGCTGGATCAGCACTGATGAGTGACCAGCAAGTGAGCAATTCAAAAATCAAATAATTTTCCAATCACTAAAGGCACCATACTCAATTACTATCAGGCTGCACAAACAGTACTCTTAGATGTGGAAGTTGTTACTGAGTGAAGACTCAAGGTTAGATTGTTTATTGTAAGACTTTCAGTAGATAAAAGGAAGGCTGTGCAAAGGAAAGTTGCTGTGTTTTATCATGCAAAGCATCTAACACACCAAGCTTGATTGGGATATGTTGGCTGCATTTCTTAGATTCTATAAATCATTAATAACATTCTTTGAGAAACACCAGAGGGAAGCGAGATCTGCATTTTTTTTTCTTTTTTAAAGGCCAAAGTTTAGGATCTGTAACCTGTAGCTCATCTGCCATTAACTGCAGCAGTTCTGTGAAAGGCAGAGGCTTACAGTGCCAGGCTGCCTGTGGGGGATCAGGGCCAGAGATGATCCCAGGGACGCTTTGTGAAAATGTCACTGCCACTTTGACAGCTGGACAGTCTCAAAAAGCCACACTGCTGACCATTTCCCCCTCTGTGTGGGGACAAAGAGCTGGAGGGGCCGATGGGGGAGCTGGGACAAGGCTCTGCACCAACAGGGATGCCTCATATTAAATAAACAGTTCTGAACAATGAAAGCATTCTGCCCTCCATGACATACCTTATCCCACCCGAAAAACTCTACAAGGTCTGAGAACCCAGCCTGAGTGCAGGGATAAATATACTGAAATTTTTCAGTCTTTTTCAGAGAAATTAGGCTCCTCCTCTTACTTCAAGGTAAATGTGGGGTCAGAAGTGACAGATTGAATAAGACTCTATCATGGCAACCCTATTTTAGTGCAAACCCCTATCTAGTCTGATCAAAAATTCCACCACGAAAAAGGACAAAACTGGAAAACAAAACAAAAAAATCAAGGCACCACAGAAGAAGAAATAAGTGGAAAAGATAGAAAGCCAATATCACAACACATAAGCCGATATATAGAGGGCAAAAAAGAATTACTGCTAGATATGAAACATGTAAAGTAAAGATGAAGGGCTTATTGAAGGATAAGATATTCAACAAGCAAACATCTACATGTTGTTGTTGTTGTTTTTTAAAGCTAAATAGCTAAAATCCCTTTACTGAAAATGTTTGGTGTTTTCCTCACTAAACCTAATCTGAAAACTTTCAGAAACAGGAATTGTGTCATCATGTGATTTTGAAATTGTACTTTGAAGCCCCCACTAATCAATCTCAGCAGGTCCTCTTGGCTTTTCAGGGCCAGAGCTGGTCTGGTCCAAGAATTCTTACATATTACTGTGCCGACTTACAAGGGGAGCCTTATAATAGGAGAAAATGTGTTTAAGGGCATAAACATTTTTCTGCAAAAAATCTTGGACAAATAATTTAATTCTGATAAAGTGGATTTGATAAGGTAATGATAATGTCAGTTTCATGCATATATATAAATATTCTGGTTTGTAAACACATGCATTCCTTAAAATTTCAAAGACAAATATCTTAGTTTATACTTTTATTAGTTAGATTTTTTTTATGACTCTAATCCTCTAGTTTAAAAATGTCTCATTGCAAAACATATCAGCATATCACCCTGACTTTGCAGTATTGCTTCAGCTTTTTGATGACTTCCATATGACTCATTGTTTGATTTTATTTATCGTTATGCCTCCTAAATACCGACGTCATGGAAAAGCCCTCATTAACATTAGTGGGACTAGACTACGCAAACTCACTACAATAACTAGCTTGCAAAATGACTGAGAAGGCCACAACAACTCAAACTTATAGCGTACATCTATGTCAGTCAGTTGTACTGCTTTTCTATCTTCATGTAAACGTTAGCTGTGCTGCAGTGCCGACACCAGCTAGGCGCAACAAGTGGAGAATCTGCCTACCTCTGCTAATTCTCTGTTGTTTTCTTCTTTCTAAAACTGCTAAAAAGCATTAAGTTCCTAAATGATTGTTTCATATTGTTTTAAAACAATAACTGTAGCTATAAACATCCGATGTAGATTTAACCAGTTGAATCTGTTTAACGAGTGTGGCACAAATATAAACATAACTACAATTTGTAAAGATAACTAAATATGGCATCCTAAATCCACCAGCCCCATGCTGAAACACAGTAAAAGTTGTGTCATGCTGGGGGACTTTTTTATGTTAAAGGATGAGAATGCTCTTCATCCAGCCTGTCTGAACTTTGCAACAAACAATGTAAAATATTTTCTCAATGAAAAGTCAAAACTGTAAGAAAATAAGGATTTGCAGCAGGAGTTTCCGAGTGATAAGGAAAACCTGTTATATTTCTATTTGTCATTTCTTTTCATACATATTTTTTAAATACTTTTTATCACTGCTCTATCAAAAACACATTATTTAAGACAGTGAACAGTATTGTTTAAAGGACTTGTTAAAATCTCCAAGGACTAACTTTGCCATCACTTGCTTGACGTTTAATTGAGCTCTTATGTCCTTGACCCACCACATTTAGCGACATGTTTAGATCTAATAATCCACTGATGTTCCAAACATTCCTACAGGGTTATTGAGCCAATAAAATCAGAATTAGCAGCAGGTAATTATTTTTTATTTAAAGACAAAATGATCATGTCTAATAAACCAATTAGGGTTTTCTGTTTATTCCTGAGATATTCCCTTTAAACATTCGTATGGTTACATTTATCTGCTGATATTAGATGATGGACAGTTCCAACTCTATTGATGGTGCCCTTCATCCACACACACACACACACACACACACACGACTCTGGGCTTCATGCGACTGCAGCGTCAGCATTCAGGGCTTTGTGCGCCACAATGGAAGCGCTTGTTTTCTTTAACACCACGACCCCATGTGACGAAAGCTCGCAGTAAAAGAATAAGAGCGAGACAGAGACATCCAGACATTTGTTTGTGTCACAGTGGAGACTATGGTGAACTGGGCTGAAGTGAGCATGCGTGACGATATACAAAGGCACACAAAGACAATACGATCCAGGACTTTTGTGTGGTTTTGTGAAAGTGGTCACATAAGCATCCACCTTTCAGTTACAAGAAGCTGATCTTTGGTGTTTCGCAGAGGGAGCCAACATACTTTAAAATGTGAAGGAAGCTGTGTTAATTTAAAGTATGGATGAGGCTATGAGTACCTAGCAATTGCCATATGATTCTATCGGGAAAGTGCAGAAAAGAAACTTCACACAAAAGGTTCATCTTTTAGTAAACCAGAAAACACATGGAACAGCAGGTTCGGTTAGGCAATTAAAAAGAATATATAAATAAATAAGAAAATAACACCAAACAAACAAAAAAACGTTGCTTTAGTTTGGTCAAACTGCCACACTTCCTCAAAAAAATAAATGAAACAACAACCCAAAAGTGAAATCAATCGAAACCCCCCCCCCACTATGGTGCATGGTTTAACTAACAGCAACCACTTCATTACAGCACACCAACCTAAGCTCTACTCAAATAAAAAAACAACAACTCCAATCAAAATGAAACCCACGTACATGCATCTGTAATCACCATTATGAGAGCACGTATGTGTGCGATCGAGTCTACGGGTAATTCCCTGGCCTGATCTGAGTTTAGGCTCGCAGAACAGATAGCTTAAGAGAGATCGAGCCTGTTGAACCAGAGAGAGAACATTGAGTCAGGCCAATGGGTCGCCATCTTTAATCCACTCAACATACATTCACACAGAAAAACCTTCAATCTAGATTAGTTACAATCTAGAACAACACTGGAAGTGTTTAATCACAATTAAGTATTTCTACGCTTTTAGATATTCATGTTTTGCCACGTTACATACAGAAACAACAAGTCTTGCTAAGTCAAATGAAAAAGGTACATAGTGCGATTTTTTTTCTTTCAAGCAATATTTACATGCATTTGTAATCAGCCTCTTGGGTCATTAAGTTATGTACGCATTTTTAGCTTTAGGTCTTTTTGGGTAAATCTCTACCAACTTAGCCAATTTTCTTTGAACGTTTCAGGTATAGTTGATGTCCACTTTAAAAAAAAAAATGCAGATGCACAATCCTGTACCTGCTCCTGAGAGGGAACATCTATTATACGCATGTGAGAGCATGCACAAACCCATTTCAATTCGTGCACGCTCTGATTAAAAGTTTAAGTTTGCATTGCACATACAAGCTTACTTTCCAAAAGAAGATTTGCAATTTTCCCACTATGTCAGACTCACCACCGTTAAGTGAATGGGGACGAGCACGTAGGACGGCCTTATGTAAACATAATACCAGAATGATTGACTATTAGGAGGACCACTTATTTTGATGATCCACCAGGAAAAAGAACATCCTCCACTATTACTTTAATTGTCAAGTTGTGCTACAGTTTCTTTAGTTGGGGGTTCACATTTTAAATGGGCTTTTCAAAAATATGAAAGTACTTAATAGGAGCTTTCCTAGCCATATGTGGCTCCATCCATCTTCTCGTTAATGTTGATCAGTTGAAGATTAGCATTTGCTGCAAATATGGTGTGTAAAGTGTGCTGCGGTGTTGATTCTGCATTTCAGTACGGACCATGACTAGAATGTTATTTTCCAAGCCTACTGTGCTTGTAGCATGGTTTTAAAATTGATCTCCTTAGGCTTTTTTTTGGGTTATAGATTATTTTCTTAAGGCTGTCCACTAAGTAAAAAAACCTGAAGTGTTGTTTTTCTACAGGCCCTGTGGAGTAAGCATGGGACATTTGTCATATTGTTTCATCGGTACCATGCTGATAATATTATCGGAGGATCACTGAACATTAAGTTTTGATATTGTTCTCATCTCCACAGCTTTGTTCTTAACCTTCATGATGTCGTTTGTTCACTAACAAACTTCTGAAGCTTTCACAGATCAGTTGCATTTACATTTAGTTTAAATTAAACACACAGTGGTGACCTCCAATATCTGCGTTTTTCAGGGCTATGAAAATAAAGAAGGCTGACTACAAATGTATGCAACATTTCTGTAAAATCATTTCAAAATAAAGCATCCTTTTTCATCCACTTATAGATTATGCACTTCTTTCAGTTGCTTTGTAATATAAAATCCCAATACTTTACATGCATGTAATGAAATCAGTAAAGTTTAAAGGTTAATAATATTTTAGTGAGGCATTATGATCTACAGCCAATCATTTCTTTAAATGAGAAAACAGAAAATTTAAACTGGTGGGAATGGTTAAAGCAACAAAGCAAACAGACTCCCCATTTCTTACCCATAAGGCCTTTGGATAAACGCTGGGTGGATTTGGGGAACACCAAAGGCAAAACCTGAGAAACAAAATAAAATGCAGAGTTTAAAATAACACTTCTACACTATCAGGAACCCAGAGTATTTGGTTCCTCCTCAGATCATGTACAAAACAAGCAGGGCTGGATTTACCTGGCTGCATCACCCGAGGTTTAGCCCCCAGATAGGCCAGGTTCACATTGGCCTTCCTGCCGTCGATGATTGGGTTTGGGTCCTTGCATGCTCTATCGGCAGCAGAGCGGTCCACCATCGTCACCTGAGAGGGATGATAGCAAATGACAGAGTTTCATTCATCCAATAAAGATCAAAAAAGAAACACAGGGTGTATGTGTATTAGTGGAAGAGCTAGAGAAGCACAGGTTGTTAAAGTTTCACCTTTGGCCGCTCTTAACCATTTATTAATCTTACATGGATATAACCTAAAAGTGAACCAGAATGACATGACCACTGATCTTTCACATCATAACATAATTTATCTCATGATTTTCATACAATTTTCCTTTAGAGAAGCTCAATGTCATTATTGAATTAATGACCTTTGGTGATTAAAGACTGATATTACAAAAAATAACAAAGAGGGAGATTGGGGTAAATATATCTTCCTGTTAATTAAGAAATCATAAGGTTAACCCTTTATAAGACAAGTTACCGTTTGATCACTTGCATTCCCTTACAAATGGAGTCCCCCCCCCCCCCCCCCCCCGTCCTTCAGTAAGGTCTAGAAGCACAAGATCTATATCCAGCCATTCAGCAAAGACACTGCTACATGGCTGTACATCTTATTTTGGCATCTGACCAAATAGATAAGTCCTTGAATGATATATTACCTACTGTAAATTAAGTTGAAGAACAAAAAGTCAAGAAAAAAAGGTAAAAGGCTAATTGAAAAGTTAAAAAGTTAATAAGCGTAGTTAAAAATTATATTTAGGTTTATAAACTAAAAAATGCAAGTTCCAGTATCAGCATTAATGCCTCTAAGGTTATGTTGTACCAAAAACATGGTTTATTTTACTCTCAGTGTTCTTCCATGGATTTCTTATAGAAGCACCTTTGTTATTTTTCTTAATATATTCAGACAAGTTGGTGTTTCTTGTTATTACATTGACATTGATTTTTAACATCAAAATATCAATATTTTTTTAATGTTACCAAGGTTATAAGGTCTTGTCCTGGATTCCAATAACAGTATTGGCTCTATAAAGGGTTAATGTTGGACAGCTGTGAAGAAGAATGAAGGTCTGTCTATGTTCATATAGGATTTTAGCTTTTATTGAGATATTTGTGGCCGAAAGAACTTTAGATGTTGGTTTCAATTTTTCTTTTTTCTTTTTTTTTTTTTTTTAAATATCCTTTTCTCTTTGTATTAATTATCAAGGAGAATAATTTATCAGAAGAATCTTTCTAAAACTGCAGCGACAATCCCTTAAACAAGTAATCAAATTAAGTTATATCACAACAATTTTGTAAATACAGCAAAACTGAAGTTTGAAGGTAAAATTATATATTTTTAAAAAAGATCATCATCGCCACAATATATAAATTAATATCATATTCTTAGAAAAATAATTAGTTGAAGACGTATTCACCAAAGTATGCTGGATATGCATACGTGAATTACGCTTCACGTTTCTTTCTGTTGTTGACATCTTTGTAGTCTGTTGAAGGGTTTTTAAGACTCAGTTGTATTTGAATCCAGACTTGAACTAGTCCTCTCCAAAAGTTTTGTTTCATAGTTTCATCCATTTTTTTAGGATTATTGCCCTGCTGCGTAAACCAGGTGTGCATTCGCTTATAGTCTTAAACAGATGTACACAGCCCCCAGGTAAGCCAACTGTTTAAAAGATCTCTCTTAAATTACGTTTTTTTGACACAGCCAATCAAAATTTTTATTTTTGTGGCACACTTGTCTAAAACCACTATTGATCTTAAGAATCATCCAGATGCTTTGGTAAGGATCAAACGACTTAGTGTTGTTTTTGGATGTAACCTTAGGACGCACTTATGGAGGCCATCTTTGACCTGTCCTTGAGTTTGTAGCAACAACCAGGAAATTCTTGACCTGGAATCAAAGGCCATGAAGCGGTGTCTCTAGTTAAAAACTGACACAAATAATCAGAACCCTAACCATTCAGAGTTGAGAACAAGTATTTAAAATTTTAATCTAAAATATAGAGTGTCACGGGTAGACAGTGTAAACACTGGTGATATTACAGATTAAGTAAGAGGTCTGGCTGCTGCTGAATACATAGAAGGCATGAAATTAATGATCTATCCAGAGCAGCAATAAAAGAGCATTAATAGTGCATTTTTGTCATTGCATTTATGCTCTTTTTAGCACAGGACTGCAAAGATTCAATATTGTTGACGTTTTTTATGACCTCCTATTTGAGCTCTCAATGTTCTCTTGAAGTTATTCTGTTAGGTAAAGTTCACCATTTTTCCATATTCTCTATTTGTGCATAATGTCTCTATGGTTCTCTGGAGTCCCTGAAAAAGCCCTTTTAACCTTCTGCTGATGCATTTCTCATAACTTTTGATTTATTGGATGTTAACTATGTATATGCTGGTGAAGATTCTCAGTAATCCAGGTCATAGTTATTCCAAAAAAGTTCAAAAACAATCCACTGGACTTTGTTTACAAGTTTCGAAGAAGTTTTCCTTCCCATCCAGGAAGCTTTTTCAATTCAAAATGACAGAAATAGAGTTGAGTTCGAGGCTTTACAGAGTAGACCAAAAGTGATGGTCCAAGAGATTCTTGGCCTGGAATCAAAGGCCTTTTTTTTACTTTTACTTTTTTTGGAATGACCTACGTATACTTCATGGTCAGAAAGGTTGTACTTCAGTTATTACTTTTTTATTCAGGGTGAAGATTCCCCTTTCTACGGAAGAGGTTTAGGGCCAGTGAAAAAATTTTAAAAAGTTAACTGATTTTTTATTTCAGTATAATGTGAGAAAAAAGTCAGAATTCTGACTTTAATCTCAGAATTCTGACTTTAATCTCAGAATTCTGGCTGAATTCTGACAGTTAACAAACATTTTAGCATCAAACCGTAGCCATGTCTGTTTTAGAGACTAACCTAGCTCTCTTGTTTTAATCATTTTCTGCTCTTCCATTAATGAAATAGCATCACTTGGGACCCTCAGGCACGTTTAAGTCGCCTAATTCCATCCTTTTCCACTACTGGCCCTCTCAAACAACTCACATCTTTGTCAGTAAGAGCTGAGTGCTCCCACATCTCTTCCTTCATGGTGCCCATCTAGATTAAGATCCAAAATGTTAAGATTAATGTCAGAATTTTGAGATTGAAGTCAGAATTCTGAGAAAAAAAAGTCAGAATTGTGAGATTAAAGTCAGAATTCTGGGAAGAAAAGTCAGAATTGTGAGATTAAAGTCAGGATTCTTAGATTAAAGTCAGGATTCTGAGAAAAAAGTCAGAATTCTGGGAAGAAAAGTCAGGTTTGTTTAGATTAAAGTCAGAATTCTGATATTAAATTTAAATTTAAAAATCAATTAACTTTTTATTTATTTATTTTTTTTCCAGTGGCCCTAATCCTCGTACCTTTCCTAATATAACACTCCATCAGAAACAACATGTTTTATTCACTCATATTTTCCTAATGCGCCCCAATCCCACAAAAGTTAGATCAAGTTTTCAGAGCCTGGATCACACTCCTAGGTGGCGATGACATCACCGCGTTTCATTCGGCATGTGAAGCAACATTTACTGTGGGACTAGTCTGTGCGCTCAGCAGCTGTCAGCGAGCTGAAAACAACGTGTCAGGGCGCAGAGCTGCGGAGCGACAAGTTTGGAGATTGCAACAGAGGCCAGGGGCAGATATAAGCAGTGGCAGCTTATCAAAACATAAACAACCCATGACCAGAGGCAGATATATCACTGAGAGCAGAGCTGTTTGGGAAAGACAAGCAGAGGTGGCTGATTTAACACGCGCAAAACAATTGGATTTTAATAGTTGGCGCTGAGCTTTATATTACTTTAAAAGCGATACTTACAAATCCATAACCTCTGGACTTGCCGGTCTGTCTATCGGTGATCACCACCGCCTCTTCAATCTCACCAAAAACCTCAAAATATTTCCTGAGACTTGAGTCCGTGGTGTGGTAGGGAAGACCGCCGACAAAGATCTTCGTGTAGGTCGTGTCCTTTTGCGTGGTGTGCATCGTTAGTGCAAAAATAAAAACTAAAACACAGTAAACAGATTTTTAAAGGCTAGAGTAGTGCAAAGTCTCCTTATCAATTGGGTTTAAAAAAAAATAGAGAAAAAAGGAAGGAGATCAGGTAAAAATAAAAATAAAAAATGTCGACAACGATGGAGCTCAGTGGAGGTAGATTTATTCTCGCCGCGGATAAGAGGACAGAAACATGGAGCGGATTGTCCCAGAGATGAGCATCAGGTGCTTCCAGCTCCCCTTCAATAGCTGTGCTGTCTAACTAAATAGCTGCGGGTTCCATTCCTAAAAGCGTCCCCTTTAACTCCACCCAGTTCCTCTGCGGACCGCCCCACAAAAACAGGAGCGCACCATCAGTTGGATCTTCCTCACATGAACTTCTAATCCTTTTTTGTTCCTTTTCAGAAATTAAATCATGCAAGATGTGCTCATTTTTCTTAGATTACGGAATTACAATTATTTTTACAGTGTATTTACAGCAGTGGTGGAGAGAGGTGCAGTGTTGCCTTTATTATTTTTATTAGAGTTGGAAAAAACACACTCATCTGATAGGCTACAATATGCACTGCAAAAAAATCCAAATCTAAATAAGTCTTTTTTTTTTCCTAAAGTAAATTCATTTTTTCTTGAATTCAGGTGGTACTCATTCCATTGGGAAATAATATTATTTATCTGCTCAAATTGAGGGGAAATACACTTGATTTAAGAAATTTTGACTTGTTTCTAGATCGTTTTTGCAGTGTGGGCACACCGCATCAAAAAAGGGGCGCTGACCTCACACTCCATAACTATCATCTAAACGGTTTCTGTTGTTGTCAATCCCGCACGAGCGCGCGCGCGTTGTGTGCGTGGGTTTAGTCCCTCGGCTGCGCGCGCCCTGTATTACCTCTTATAACAGATCAGGACTTCAGTGCGCAGTCTTACCTCGGCAACAGACTTAGACTTAGACAAACTTTCATTGTCACTTTGTATACTCAGAGTGTATACAAAACGAAATTTCTTACATTCAGTTTTCCAACAGTAAATGAGCAGCAGCTTAGCAGTGAATATGAACATTTTTATTTATGAAGTGCAGCAGTGATCAAGATATAAACAGTATGGGAGAGACATGGTGTAAAAGGCATCAATGTGGAAGGTTCAGAGCAGTGCAAAAAAAAAAAAAAAAAATAGATATGGTGCAAAATGCAGTAGAAAAACTGAGTTCAGTTCTATTATGGAGGTACCATGTAGTGCAGGTATGATGTTGTCAGTGATGCAGCGTCTCGATTTGTGACCTGAATTGAGTTTTCAACAGTTCCACAGACTTACGGCAGCGGGGAAAAAGCTGGTGCAGAACCTGCAGTGGATGCTTCGAAGCCTCTTCGCAGGGCAGCAGGGAGAACAGTCCATGCAGGGATTTGTGAGGGGTCACAGATGTACATGCAGCACTGGGATGAAATGTCTTTAATGGAGGGAAGAGGAGCCCTAATGATCCTCCCTTCTGTTCTCACCACTCTTCTTACATTCTTCCAGTCTGCGGCGCTGCAGCCTCCACACCACACAGTGAGACAGCTGGTCATAATGCTCTCTATGGTACTTCTATAGAGGGTTGTGAGGATGGGTCGGGGCAGGTGGGCCCTCCTCACCTCCCATAATCTCCTTTATTCTGTCAAACTTTATCTGGTTGGTACTGTGGAAACAAACCTGTTATGGCCCACGCACTTTATCTTTATTACTTTATTCATAGGCTACGTTTACATGGACACAACTAATCGGATTGAAGGCCTGATCAGATCAAAAATGTTTCATGTAAACATGTCAGACTGAAGATTCTAATCCGATTCGGTCCGATCGGATCTAAATTTAATTCCGAATAAGAGAGGTGGTTTTTGCCGATCGCCATTCCGATTGGCGTCCATGTAAACACCCATTCGGATCTGAAGAGTAAAATAATCTTCACTGCGCATGTGTGCGACGTCAGCGTGACGTTTTTCCGCCTTGTCAACAACAGGAAACCACCGGTGTTATGCCCAAAAGTGCATGCCTGCCGAAAAATGCATCCCCAGTCGCGGGAGCGCGCCTCGCTCTGTTGAACTGCATATCGACGAGGAAAACGGATTAAAATATGTTCAATGGAGCTTAGGTTCTTATATTAATGATATAAAAACGTTTAAAAATACCTCTCGTGGGAAAAAAGTTGTGGTTATTTGGCAGATTAATTTACAAAAGTACGGATTTTTTGACCAACATTAAATCCAAAGATTTTGACCATGGTACGGCTGATTTATTTGTTGTGGTCTCTTGCTATTTACACACAACACTAAACCGTGACAGCCGACGTGAGTTTTGAGTTTGCAAAGCTTTCTCTTAAGTGGAAAATCAAACGCGCATCTACATAGCACAGCGTTCACAGACCAGTGAGATGCGTTCGCTGCGCGTCAGAAAGCTATGGTGCATTCAGGAGCATTGGAACATTTTAAACTTACAAGAATGAGGCATAAAACAGAACTGTATTTTTACTGAACTGTATGGTATTTTTTTTGTTTGTTTGTTTATGCACATCTGCTAGCTTTTTATTCTAAAAAATCTATAATATTACAGCAGCAATTTATCAAGGTTTTTCAAAATCCTGTTTAAAAGCTCCAAATGGGGCTTCAGATCATATGAAGCAACAATTGCACTGTCATTGTTTTACAGGGCAGAATTTGCATTTGCTGATCCTTGTACTTAATTACTGATGAATATACAGGAATACAGACCTACAAGTGTCAACTCCACTGAGATAGCAGGGGATGCAGTTTTTGGCAAGGACCTGCCACAAAATGCATCCCCCCTTGTTTTTAACCTAAGAATTGTCCTACACACATGAAATTCACACTAGTACCTCAGCACACATGTGGATGCAGGTAGGAATTTGTCACATCAGCTACAAATCTATAGTACCTGGTAAAAAAGTCAGGGGATGGCAATTTTTTGCCAAGGGACCTGCCAAAAAATGCATCCCCCTTGTATTTAACCTAAGAATGTTTCCGCGAGCGAGCTAATGCACACGATGAAATTCACACTGGTACCATCAGCACACATTGGAAGCAGGTAGAAATTTAAACATCACTCACTAATCTATATTTCTGGAAAAAAAGCAGGGATGCAATTTTTGGCAAGGACCTGCCAAAAAATGCATCCCCCTTGTTTTTAACCTAAGAATTGTCCTACACAACATGAAATTCATCACTGGACCTCAGCACACATTGAATAGCAGGAGAATTTGTCACATCTGCTACAAATCTATATTTTCTGGAAAAAAGCAGGGGATGCAATTTTGGCAAGACCAGCAAAAAATGCATCCCCCTTGTTTTGAACGCTAAGAATTGTCCTACACACAATGAAATTCACACTGGTGAACCGAATCAGCACACATGTGGAAGCAGTAGAAATTGAAACATCAGCTACAACTGTATATTTCCTGGAAAAAAGCAGGGGATTGCAAATTTTTGGCAAGGATCCTGCCAAAAAATGCATCCCCTTTGTTTTTTAAACTTAAAGATTGCCCACAATACATAAATTCACACTGGTACCACAGCACACATTGGAAGCAGGTAGAAATTGAAACATCATCTACAAATCTAGTATTTCTGAAAAAAAGCAGGGGATGCAATTTTTGGCAAGGACCTGCCAAAAAATGCATCCCCCTTGTTTTTTAACCTAAGAAAGTCCTAACACACATGAAATTCACACTAGTACCCCTCAGCACTACATGTGGAAGCAGGTAGAATTTGTCACATCAGCTACAAATTCCTATATTTCTGGAAAAAAGCAGGGGATGCAATTTTTGCCAAGGACCTGCAAAAAATTGCATCCCCCTTGTTTTTAACCTAATAATTGTCCACACACTTGAAATTCACACTGGTAACCACAGCACACAATGGAAGCAGGTAGAAATTGAAACATCATCTACAAATCTATATTTCCAGGAAAAAACATGGGATGGCAATTTTGTTGCCAAGGACCTGCCCAAAAAAAAGCATCCCCTTGTATTTAACCTAAGAATTGCCTACACACATGAAATTCACACTGGTTACCCTCAGCAACACATGTGGAAAGCAGTAGAAATTGAAACATCAGCAAAGAAATAAACAACTGTATATTTCTGGAAAAAAGGCAGGGATGCAATTTTTGGCAAGGAACCTTCCAAAAAATGCATCCCCCTTGTTTTTAACTTAAAGATTGTCCCACAGACATGAAATTACACACTGGTACCTAGCCAGCACACAGTGGAAGCAGGTGTAGAAATTGAAACATCAGCTACACATACTAATTTCTGGAAAAAAGGCAGGGGAGCAATTTTTGGCTAGGACCTACCAAAAAATGCATCCCTGCCTTGTTTTTTAACCTAAGAATTGTCCTACACACAATGAAAATTCATCAATACCTTGTACCGGTCAGCACACATGTGGAAGCAGGTAGAAATTGAAACATCAGCTACAAGACTGTATATTTCTGAGATAAAAGCAGGGGATGCAATTTTTGGCAAGGACCTCTGTCAAAAAATGCATCCCCTTGTTTTTAACTTAACGATTTGGCCCACATACATCTAAATTCACACGGTACCGGTCAGCACAACTGCATGTGGAAGCAGGTAGAAATTGAAACCTCAGCTACAAATCTATATTTCTGGAAAAAAGCAGGGATGCACTTTTTGGCAAGAGAGACCTGCCAAAAAATGCATCCCCCTTGTTTTAACCCTAAGAATTGTCCTACAATCACATGAAATTCACACTGGTACCCCCTCAGCACACATTTAGGAAGCAGGTAGAAAAAATTGATAACATCACTACAACGTATCTTTCTGGAAACAAGCAGGGACTGGCAATTTTTTGGCAAGGACCTGTCCAAAAAATGCCTCCCCCTTTGTTTTTAACCTTAAAGATTGTCCCACCATCCATGAAATTCACACTGGTAACACACTGCCAGCACACATGTGGGGACAGCAGGTAAAATTCTGAAACATCACTGCTACAGCAAATCTAAAAATTCTTGGAAAAAGCGATGCGGTACAATTATTTTCGCGAAACGATTGTTTGTGTCTGCCGGGCGCACTCGTGTGAAGGAGTCGGTTGTTCTTTCCGGCGCTAGAGCTTTCCCTCCCCGGGCTCTTATTTAGTTTACCCCATTCATATTTAAATAAAAACACCCCGCCTAAAAACACAACGCGAAACCCCTCCCCAGCCCCCAAAATTACCCCCCCCCACTACCCCAGCCCCAACCCATCTAAAAGTTCCCTCTTTCAAATGTTTTATTTTGTAT